CAACACAGAATTAAAGTATATTACAAAACAACGAACACTCTTCGAAATACTTTAGTCCGATTAAAAGAAAAGATACCATTCATGTCTACACAGAACTGCGTCTACAAATTAGATTGTGTCGACTGTGATACCTTCTATATTGGAGAGTCATCTCGCGAAATCATGACTCGCACCAAAGAACATATTAGGTACACAAAGAAACCTAATAATCCTGTAGAACTAGATGGACTTCAAATTAAATCGGCATTAGCGGTTCATGCCATTTTCAATAATCATCAAATTGATTTCAAAAACATCAAAATACTACAGAAAGGTTTTTCCAATAACAAAGAAAGAAGAGTAGCGGAAGCTTTCCATATAATGCTTAATCCCACTGCCCTCAATAGAAAAGAAGGCCTTACCATACATCCCACTTGGACTATCTATCCTAGTCAACCAGTCTAATATTATTTACAATCTCACACCATTACATTACAAATTAAACTCTATCCTTTGTCATTACAAAGGTCACACATTTTTCGTCATTAACAATGCATACATACACACAAAATTACATACATATCCCTTATGAATCACTTTGAACGAAATGAAATGACGTGACATTGATTTATTCAGACCGGTTTTTGATTGATCACCTAATATTCTTTGATTGTTCCGTTGTACTATTTAAACTTGGATTAATATTAATTTGGTTATTTATTCTCTGAAGAAGTGGCTTACACTGAGTCACGAAACGTCAGAAAATCTAATTTTTCTACTCATTGGGATATTACAAATATATAATTTATTTACATCTGTTTATTTATTTCCCTTTGAAATTGTGACCTTGGATATGAATTTAATGGCCACGAAAATCTTTATCCTCTTCATTCACCTTGTGATTCAGCACTACTCTCTCGATTATTGTAATTCTTCAAGCGTTCAACTAATATTCGAAATCAGGTTGAAACTGTCACAGACTTTCAACAAGTGATAACTGCTGCAGTAACGGAATGATCAAGAGCGTTTCAACGAGATATTCATTTTCATAAACAAAACAATATCATTTTCATGGAGGCGACACGCATAATAATGAAGCTACAGTGATTGAAGAGAAACATTGTGTACACAGATCTGTCATGAAAAACGTAACATTCTAGACTAGGAATGTGTATGGACTGGGAACTAAGAGACAGATAAAGGCTCTTCTTAGAGCCACCCACAAACAGATTTCAGTGTATTTCTGTTATTGTATTCGGTATTGTTACATATATGTATTAATATATATAAATAATTAACTGTGATTTTACACTCTATGTGCGGTTTCTGTATTTTTGAAGAGAGTACGATTGTTGAGCAGTTCTTATTACAGCCGTCTTAAAGTACATCATGAGTAATTACGTTAACTAGTTTCACACTTTTACACAAGTTTTGTACTTATTAATATCAATTTATAATGACTAGGATTACAACGTAGATCGATGTATTTGATCAGTGTTTGCTAGTAACCCATCCCGATCAGATAGCAGTTTAGTGGGGAACAAGGGCACAGGTGGGGGGACAGAATATCTGAGTAAAATATGCGAACCATACATAAAATACTCCATTTGAAAATTTCCACCATTTGTTCTTCAAATTCTGTCTGATTCTTCTTATTCACAATTGCTTCCTATTTCCGTTACTATTCTCTTCAACTAATTATTTTTAGCCTTCTGCTGCTAACATTTTCACTCCCGACTGGTGTACATACTACTCATGTCGACAGACATAAGTAGCATAAATAATAAGTAATAATATTCCACCTATAAATTAATTTCAGTTTGTCAATATATTGCTACGTAGATTTGTCAGGAAATAGGGATAATTGCATTATTATTATTGCCTATTGAGCAGCATGGAAAGCAATGTTACTTAATAGTGGACACAAACTTGATACTTTAAAATTACCTAAAATCAATCAGTACTCAAATTGCATCATTTTTGTTTAACCCAAAACTACAAGTAAAATACTCTGCTTTCTTGTAGTATGAAATTCCTGCATCCGTAATGGTATTGGTTATCGACCATACGATTTCTGAAGCCAAACATACGATAACTGGGAAGATAAGCATTCAGTATTTAACACTGAGAAAAGGTCAAAAATGATGTACGCGGGAAGATTTAATCGAAATGGCATAACTTGACCATGCAGGCGTGGTAGCTATATAACTTATTTCTTTTCATATTAAATATATTATTCTATCCCCAGCTCAAATGCGTTCATCAGAAATGTTAACCATCATATTGCCGATCGTGCGTAGGGCGATTCAGTATAAACAATGTGATCTCTACGTGAGGTCAATTGGGACATGTATGTTGGTGCCACCATATGCAGAATAATCTTCGTAATCAAATAAACTCATTTGTAGTTGTTATCTCAGAAGGAGCTTACAAGTAATATACCATTTTGTTATGTCATTTATTGCCGACACTTGGGTTTATTGTTTTATTTCTTTTTGATATATTATTAGTAACTGTGAGTATTACTATATCTTGAATAAACCTTTTTTTACTGGAATCCACCAGAGATTATATAGACTGGGTAGTCATATCATGACATATCTACAATATTGGGATTAGGTCTATTATTCTAGTAGCTAAGATAAATGTACTAATACCGAACTTGACTATCATTTTGCAGTGATCTCATCGACCAAAGAAACGCAGTTTTGGATTAATTCTCATAATCACTTTGACTCAATTGATTAGTTTTTTACTTATTTTAACTGATTATTCTATTTTAACTTCTTAATTAATGCTTACATATATTATTGTATTATTGTAATATTGATTAGTACCCATGGTCAGCTTAGTAGCTCGATCGATACTAATAACTTGTCATCTATGTTAATGATTAGCTATGGTGGTGCATTAGTAACCTTTAGTAGCATTTACTTGCTTTAGTAAAATAGATTTGTCAAAACATTGTAGTAGTGTTGAGTTGCGGTTGACTATGATCACTACTACAGGAAAACTACTTGTCAGTTGCTAGGTTAAACTCCTCTGAAGGCCAAATATCAGAAGGCAATTGACGGTTGTAGTAAGATGTATTTGTTGGTGATCTTCTGGTATCGAAATAAATCCACAAGCGAGACTACTGAGAGTATGCGAGTTCGTGCAAGGTCACAAACAACGGAAAAGTGTTTTTTTTTGGCACACTTAAACAGGTACAGTAAAACAATCACTGATGCAGTTGGTTATAACAATAATTGTTTCCATTATACCAATCACGTTCTCTTTATAAAAGTAGGTCACTACAACAACCACTGGCAATTATGACCCTTAATTAACGTAAATAAACATAGGCTGGCAAGTGATGTAAACAAGGATCAGATAGTTATCTAAGTCTTATTCTTCATCTTGTTTCTTCATTTACCATTTTATTCTATTTTATACTATGGACTATTCCTTAATATTTTTTTCTTTCGAACATTGTCTGCCTAATTCCTAGTTTTCAAGTATCACTGTTAAATAACAAAGACAATATTCCAGAAGCCTACAGTGAGTTTCAGCTATAAAGTTTCTGCTATCTTAAGCTTATTTCAAATTGTTCATACGATGACAGTCACGTATTTATGTGACTTGTTTTTAAATTCTTACTGAATCAACCGAGTGAAAAAGTTAACAGCATTACTCGCACCCAGGAATTAGTTGGAATACTGTGTGTTCATTCTGGTTCCTTTTGGATTTATATTATTTATTACAATAGGATTTTTATGCATCAAATCTATTGGATAGTCTGAATTTCGAACATAACTCAGGCGAGTTTCACTATTTCGCTGAGTGATTTGCCATATTTTGTAACATGTATGTATTTTCACATAGACTAACCATTTATATTTTGTATAAACCATTCCCAAAACCATTTTTGACCTTAGATATATTTAATATCTTCAGAAGAAAACATACTACCATGAGAAAGTACGTCGTTTTCACGAGAACCGTATGATATTTAACATCTGAGACTTCTTAGCTCTGATTATCATTGCTCTATATTTATGATAGTTACTAGGCTAATTACAGCAATCTCTTATGAAAAGTTTATATTATACCCATAATGTTCCTAACTGTAGTTGTGTAAGTCATGTCTCAACCTATAAATTTTGTTGCCAAGTGTTAATGATCATATTTCTAACCAACGTATATGTTAACCTTGCTTATACATGCTTAATATTATTTCATCTCTATACCATTGAATTTATTAATTATTTAAACCATCATTAACGATTTCCACTATACCCATAGTGAAACGGTCATTCAATGTTTCCAGGTTTTCAATGGTAGTCTAATTTAGAGAGGTCTATCTATTCACTAACCTAATTAGGTTCATAAAAATGATTCAAAATAAGATAGTTAATCGACTAATAAGAATTTATTATACAGATAATAATGATTTAACGATTCGTTATATTAAAATGATGTTGATAAACAAGGAGGATCTGATGCAGATGTAAAGGCGAGGATTGGCAAAGCAAGGGCAGCATTTCTACAATTGAAGAACATATGGAACTCAAAATAACTCTCAACCAATTTCAAGGTCAGAATCTTCAATACGAACGTCAAGACAGTCCTACTGTATGGAGCTGAAACGTGGAGAACTACTACGGCCATCATCAGGAAGGTACAAGTATTTATAAACAATTGTCTACGCAAAATACTCAACATCCATTGGCCGGATACTATCAGTAACAGCGTTTTATAGGAGAGGACAAACCAGCAGGTTCCAGCTGAATAGAAAATTAGGAAAAGACGTTGGAAGTGGATCGGACATACATTAAGGAAATCACCAATGTGCATCACGACTCAATCCCTAACTTGGAATCCTGAAGGGAAGCGGAAAAGAGAAAGGTCAAAGAACACATTACGCCAGGAAATAGGAGCAGATAGGAAAAGGATGAATGTTAACTGGAACGAACTGGATAGGATTGCCCAGGACAGAGTTGGATGGAGAATGCTAGTAAGCGGCCTATGCTCCTCCACGAGGGGCAACAGACGTAAGTAAGTAAAAATAAGAATTATATTAATATGTTTATTTTATTTTTCTAAGCTTCTATCTGAACTGGGATCCTTTATTCTCTTTGATTTATTTATTTATCCCAATAAGAAACTAAGTGATGTGTTAATAAGCATAGCTGTGAATAATGAATATATCCCAATGAGCAGAAAATAATTGTATTTCTGACGTTTCGTAACTTGATATAAGTCACTTATTCAGATTAACGTGCCTTACAATTTTCTATCCATTGAAATATATAAGAAATATTATATTTATTTGAAAAAACCTATCAAGTTTAACCTTAACATTGATACCTACCAATTCTGTGAATGTTAACCAGTCCGTTAGTTAATAATTCAGAGAAAACAGTAAATAATAATAATGGTAATAATGATAATTATTATTATTCTTATCATTAATATTTAAACTTTAATAATAATATCGTTTAATAAACCTGGGTCTAACATTTGGACTCTTAATGAATACTTTTATATGTTGTGGCATTATCACGTGTTTCACTGTAACATGTGGTTTTTGTTGTTGAGTTTGTAACAATTGTTGTTGTTGTTGAAGTAACTGTAGTTGTTGCATTTGAGAAACTGATGATACTTTTGGTTGTAAAGGTATTTGACTTTGTACTTGAGTTTGTTTAACCGATGGACTAGGGAACGGAAATGGTATTTCAGGCTTTTGTGGAGTTACTGCAGGTGGTTGTTGTGGACTTACTGCAGGTGGCTGTTGTGGAGTTGCTGCAGGTGGTTGTTGTGGACTCACTTCAGGGGGTTGTTGTGGAGTTGCTGCAGGTGGTTGCTGCTGAGGTACTGTAGGTGGTAATTGTGGAGCTATTGGAGTTGGTTGTTGTGGTATTGCCGGTTGTTGTGGTATTACCGGTTGTTGTGGTATTACTGGTTGTTGTGGTATTACTGGTTGTTGTGGTATTACTGGTTGTTGTGGTATTATTGGTTGCTGAGGTATCATACTAGGTCCTGTAGCATAATGACCACCAAATGGAAATCCAAATGAATATTGTGGAGGTATATATGTATGTCCACTAACACCATAATAATGACTTAGCATCGGTTGTGATACAGGCATTGAAACAGGAATTTGTGCTTGTACTGGAATTGAAACTGGTACAGCAACTGTTGGCATTAAACTTGATCCATAAAGAAGTCTAGATTTGGAAGATGATTGACTTTGAGGTTTATCCGTTCGTTTTCTGTATTTATCATGCTGATGATGATGATAGTAATAATGTATGAGATTATTATTATTATTAATGTTATTATTATTATTATTATCTTTCTTATGATTGTTATTTTCACTATCAAAATGTATTATAACATCATCATTATAATCATTTTCATAATATTTCACAGCTAATCTAGGTAATTCCGGTATAGTATATTCATCCTCCATATCTAAATGATATTTTTTTAAACTTTTATCTTTTAATTCATCTGTTAATTTATATTCTTTATTATATATAGGATTTTTAGCTTGGTAACTATTTAAAATTGGTAAATTATTTGGGATACAACCAGGTTTCCACATTTCTGTTGGAACATAATTCATTGGATAATTGAATACTAATAATCCATACATTAATAAATATAATAAACGAATATAAATAATAATAATAAACATAATATTTATGTATCAGAGTTATTATTGTCTTTGTTACTACTCTGTTTTTCACAAATAATCACTATAGTATCAATGAATAGAATGAATAGTACAAATGATAGTAACGGAATGAATGAATGGATAATAATAATAATAATAATATAGATTATCGATAAATATAATAAGATAAACAAAGTGCAATCGTTTAAGCAAAAAAAATTTTCATTAATTCAATATTATTCATTAGGTAATCAATAATAAGAAAAAATTTTTTTTCTGTTTTTCTTTTTCTCTTTCCCCCTCCCCTCTCTCTCTCTCTCTCGAAAAATCTTCATTAATTCAATATTATTCATTAAGTAATCAATAATAGAAAAAAAAGTTTTTTTCGTTTTTCTTTTTCTCCCTCCCCCCCCTCTCTCTCGAAAAATCTTCTTTTGTTCTTCGTAAATTAATAAATTACGTATATATATAAATATAAAATTATTACATATTATTACTGATTATATTTAATTATGTAATCTATATGATGAAAGAATAATTTAATGGGAAAAAAGTTTTATTAATTAAATAAACAACTAACTAAAAGAGTAGATGGAACACTGAAAAAAGAGGGTTATATAGAAAGTCTACAGTTGGACAATAGAGTCATTTCTATAGAGCAGTATCAATCAAATAACAATGAAACTTGATAACGATCCTGAATCATCGTGCTAGAATGATTTGCTCGGATGACATTATTTTAGATGGATTGGTTAATATTCGCAAGTTGCTTATAGTACGAATGGATATCCAATGAAATTCATCGACAAACACATGAAGGAGATGAAAAGAAGGACAAGGATACCTACCGTTATGAAGAAGGTATTGTTCTTAAAATTGCAATTCTTAAATGATGCTACGGAAGAAATCGTGACATGGAGGCTAAGAAAAGCAGCACAGAAAACATTTAATGCAGTCAAACTGAGTAACATTTTCTACAACCGCCCCACAATAAGAACGGTTAATAAAGACAAATTGTCTGAATTCACCATATCTATGTGTATTTACCAATTCAACTGCTTCTGTGGAGCCAATTATAAAAGGCACACAATTCGGCAAGTTCGTCAACGAATAATAGAATACCATCCGTCGTGGTTAAGCAAATAACAGTTAAAAGTGATTAAGAGTTCTATTCTTGCTCACTTGATAGACACAGGTCATCAAGTTGAACTGGATAAAGCTTTTAAGATTATCCATCATATTCCATAAAATTTACCGCATGCTTTACGAGCTCGTCTTTTGCACATAGCTGAAGATATCGCAATCCATGTTCACAAACCGAACATTTGTATTCAAAAGAAGTTTGCACAACCACTCTCACTACCTTGGCCATCGGTATAGCGGAGTTTGTAGCATAATTTCGGTAAACAATTATCTTATTTCTTCCATTTTTTTTATTTTACTTATTCTCTACATTTGTCTCTTGATTCTTACATAACTACTATATTACTGACCATTCATCAAAATATTTTGCTAGTTCTTTCTTCTCCTTTTATATATTATGCAACATAGTAACAGCTTGATTTTTGAACAATTAATTTGATTAGTAATAACCAAATTCTAATTAATTAATGTTAGCTTATAATCGACATGTCATTATGTAATTATTACGTAACGTATGTACTCGAAGTGTTATTTCATTATTGTATATCATATATATGTATTAGTGTAGAGCCATGATGAGAAACTAATTGGAAAGAAATTTCTTCGCTTGATTCGTTTTTTCTTTATTTATCAAATGTCAAAATGAGAATTTTCACTATAAATAAACAATCATTAATGTATATTTACTTGTTGTTGTTGCTTACTTGTATTATCCCATTGTTATTTTGAACTGCAATTGATCAGACTGTTGTTAGCATATGTGCATCCTATGCGGACTGCCTCGATATCGCCTGAAGTCACAAGCTTTATAAGAAATGCTAGCCACTATCCATCATTGCTAACATGAAATTTTGTTAATTATTTTCTGATGAATAATACTTTGGAGATAATAGACACCTTTATGTTTCCTTGAAGAAACTATGGGAATAATTTTATTCAACATTGTTGATCCGTCTATCTATCTATCTCCCCCTCTCTCTCTCACTCTCTTTCTCCATATATATATATATATATATATATATATATATATATATATATATATATATATATTACTCGGGATCGACTGGAATGAATTGTTCATGAAACTAGTCGAAAATTTTCAGTACAAACTGGAAACTTTTTCCAACTTTCAACAGTTTATATTTTTTATTAACAAAATACAGTCAGTTCATTATTTATGTTCTGGTGATTGAAATCTTCACCATCATATTTCGATAAAAAAGTGCTAGTTTATTTAGACAAAACAACCATAGGTTAATTCCTTATTATCGAAGGAATACTCAGTAAAAATCTTCAGTTTAAAGGTGATATAACGGTCGTAGTTATTAAAACACGGTTTTCCTGAGTATTTCGCAAGTAACTAGCTCGGAAATCATACGTTTTAGTAAGTAGATAAGTTAGCTTTTCCTAAAAGACTAAATTACTCTTAGGAAGACATCGGGGTAGAACTCCATTTTTGCTTTTAGCTACTATGAATAACTGATTCAGGTCTATGCTCTTGAAACTTCTTTTCTTTATAATGAAATAAGACTTAGTCCCACTTTATTGGATTTCAGATCTTAATAAGTTATCAGCGGACATTTGTGTAGGGATGGTACAGATGATATTCTAGAATCATTGCTAGACTAATTACAGAGAAGAATCGTCTCGTTAATTACCGGAAAAAGTCAGAGTTATAAAGCTAAAACTTAAAGGAATTAACAGAAGCAAATCACTAGATGTAGAGATTATTTTTTAGTTCGACCCAATACAGAAAAAAATTTGCTTGCCTAGGACTTGTGTGAAATGACTGTCCGAAACCATGCACAGAATTATTTACGTGAATTCACTCGGTAGAACTGCAGATCTGGACTAAATTACGTTGAATGTAAACGTATCACTACCTCGATTACAGAATATATCTTTTTTTACCTGAGAGCGTGATATGGTTATCCTAATCCCAAAGACTGTTAATAGGTAATTTAATACCTATTTATACTTTTAATTCAGTTTTCTGTCCTAATACTCCAGGTATATCCCACTCTAGTTTTACCATGAAAGCAGTAACAACCAATACTTTTCTCGTTTATTTTAGTTACGTTGACCTTAAACGGTTACTCTAAATTTAACTACGTACTCTATTTATAGATTCCATTTTATAGTTAAATTCATGAGTCAACTGAAGCTAGACCATCACGGGAAACCTGGAAGCAATGGACGGTTGTTTCGTCCTATTGTGGTACTCCTCAGCAGTGCGCATCCACGATACTGCCTCTCGAGATTCGAACCCAGGACCTGTCCGTTTTGCGCACGAATTCACACCCTTTAGACCACTGAGTCAGCCGGCATCCAATGGTGTTAATGTCGAACATTAATCAATCCACGAAATTGAGCAACCTTACACCATTGTCTTCAGTGAGTTACTATCTCACAACAGACCCGGTTGAAGCTCACTTTCCAGAAAACTAATTTCAATACGTAACATTTCAAAATATTTCTTTGCCATGATCTCACAAACTATAGTCAACTTTATCTAAGCAAAACTGAGATGGTATGTGTTAAGAATAGTAGTCAATGTGAATAATTTCTTGGCTTTAAAGTTTTCATTTCAAGATTACTTTTCTTTCCTAGATAGCAATTGAAGAGAGTACATGATCAGGAAGAGCATAAAGCTTCATATTATTCCTCTATTATCTCTTGTTTTCTGTCCATATATATTCACCTTACTGAATATTTTAAAATGTACTACATTTTCGTGATTTTAAGTGTCAAGTTAAACTAAGAAAGAGTATTGTGAAAAGTCGTAACAATGCTTTCTATAGTTGATTTGATATGCTTCTAAAAATTTAAATCCTAAATAAATTGAACATTAAGATCAAGATATGTTATTAGTTGAAATCTTAGTCCTTCTGTTGAAAAATAACCTCATCAAAACAAAAAAAACAAAGAAAGAAGTCCATTAAAGCTTTACCCTTTCAATTTTATGACAGACCGAAATTACTTAAAGCAAATATCATTTAATGAACAGTTGTGTCCATTCCAGGGACCTTTAAATACAATTAGTCAAGCGTGATAATAAAAGTATTAAAAAATATGGTGTGTATATATCACGAAACTACTTCTGTAGCTCTTCAAGAGTTACTGCCGGTCCCAAGCAAATACAAAGGAGGGTTGGGCACGAGGTTGGCAACCCCATCCTGTAGAAGAAATTTTGCTAAAAAGACGTCAACCAGAATAAACAAATTAAATCATTTAAACTCTGCCCTGGGAGATGGAGGAAGAATTATGACGCCTCAGGATGAAAACTGAGACTCTTCGTAAGTCATGAGGCCGATGTCCCTTCTAACAACTAGAGAAAAACTTTTTATAGGTGCATGGGATGTTCGGACAATGTGAGAGACCGAGAGGGCCAGTCAAATAGCAACGAAAATGAGGAGATACATCTTGGCAGTACTTGGAATTAGTGAAACCCATTGAACCCAAACTGGACATCAAAGGCTAGATATGAGAGAGATGCTGCTGTACTCCGGTCACGAAAAATAAAATGTTCCACACACTCAGGGAATCGCTCTAATGCTGTACAGAGAAGCAAGAAATGCGCTTGTAGGATGGGAATCTCACGGATCCAGAATCATCAAAGCATCATTCAAAACAAAGAAGGAGGGGATCGCAACGAATGTTGTTCGATGTTATGCACCTACCAATGATAGCAACGACACCAACGACGGCGGAAAAAGAGAATGAAATATCAAACAAACATATGATACAAGGAAGAAACTGGCAGAGGAGTATAGTAAACCAAAGAGACCCGTCAAGGACAAAGAAGGGAAAACAATCACTCAGATTCAAGAACAAAGGAACAGACGGATAGCATACTTCGAGGAACTCTTGAATAGACCAGTTCCACTGAACACGCTCGACATCAAAGCACCACACACAGACATTCCTATACATTTCACTCCACCAACGATCGAATAAATCAGGATGGTCATCAGACAAATGGTGAGCGGGAAATAAGTAGGACCTGACAATATACCAAC